GGTACAGTAGCGCGAAAAATTCAGTTTCGGCGGCGATTGCGCGTGATTGATGCGCGCGATGCACTTCTGCATTCGGAATTGCACGGAGCCGCATCACTGCCCTCGCGTGCTTCGTTAATCATGCACGTTGACGGTTGAATCTTGGCAAAAAGAAAAGGGGAGAAGGAAAAGGGAGGGAGAGAAAGAGAGAGAGAGAGAGAGAGTGAGAGTGTGGAGGGGAGTGGAAGGGAGTGGGAGAATGCATAAAAGACGTGAATGCGAGTCGTTGCTCGCTTTGCTGTTCGCACAGGAAGCTCATCGAGAGTTATGCGCAGGACTGTACACACTGTACGAATCTTTTCTTTTCTCTCTCCTCTCCCTCTTCTTATTCTTCTACACTTCTTCTTTATCTTCTGTGTAAAGTGATAAACGCTTTTTCTTCTTGGTTAGGCGAGCAATTTTTTTCAGAGGATAAATGAAAATCTTGGATGTCGGTACATCAAGGGTAAAAAGTTTTAGACGGTTCATTGAATTATCATCGTACATTTCTGATTTTATCCGTTGATAAAATAATCTGCGCTCTTATCTGTGTTCTTTTAGAGGCTCCTTTTTTAAATGTCACTCGGGTATAAATAACTGAAGTATGATCGTATCGATAATCTATAACTGCTCGAAAAGTGACGTGAAATTTATACGAAAACGTATATAATTACCATTTTATAGTAGGATGGGTGTGTTTCATGAGGATGAGTTTTATTCTTGAAACGAGGGAAGAAACGTAGTTAGTTGGAAGCGAGCTGTGCCGCAGAGGAGCCATTTTGAATCTTCCCTGGAAAATTTATTACTTTACCTTCATTAGTTTCTGCGTTATCTGAGTTTAAACACGTTGTATCGTTTTCCATTCAGTCCCGTAAATGAGCTCAAGGTTTATTAATGAACATCAACGGACTGTAAAGTAAAATTTCATAATTGAAGCGCGGCGAATATTATTAGGAGCACGACCTTTTTTAATCAGAGGAAAAAGGAGATCAGAGTCGATCGTGAATAAATTATTCCTACCGTTACGCCAAAGGAAAACGTTAATACGTTCAGTACGCGGTTTCTTGGGAAACAAAGGTGTTGCTAGTAAATGCTGTTTAAAGGAGCGCATTGTTACAAATGAGGCCCGCTGGCGTGGGATATGAGTCACCTAACGACTTGTTTCACTTGACGAACATCCATAAAACCAAACTGACGGCTTACAAATAAACATACTCGACGCCAGTCTTAAAACCGCTCGCAACCATTCCCCTTTCGACGAGCCTTGCCTCATTTTTACTCGGTAAATGAAACATAAAAATAAAAGAGGAAAAATATCAAATTGATTTAAAAATACATATATCAGATCATTTTCTAACAATAAGTGTCACTTAGAAACAGGGCTGAAAAAACGAGGCCATAAAAAGAATTTGTTGTTGCCTAGGTAAATAAAGATAAAAATACAAAATGTGTAATAATAAATAAGGCTTCCAAGGGCTCGTGACTTTGAGCTCGTATTTCTTAAACACATGTACGAAATGACCCGAAGCTTTGTCCGAGTTTATACTTATAAGGACGAAACGTTCGATTTGGTTTCAGTTATTGGGCGGTGCTTGCTTCAGCCACGGCCCGTACACGTTCTACAAAGCGGTGAGAATAGGAAACGGACGTGTCCTTCGTCTGGGCAGCTTCTTCCTGACCAAACTCTGGAGCGATGCGGACCTCGTCAGCATCGGGGAGCTTCAGCTGCTCTGGATGGACAGCCGGGGGCCTAATCAACCCCTGGCGTCTTTGCGGCTCTACTTTTTGCCGGAGAACACCCCGGATGGACGAAGGGACACGCACGGAGAGGTGAGTAATTTTCCATCGTCCTTTCGACATTTACTTCCAACAGAAATTAATTAGACGAATATCGGTCTTTGGAGAAGAAAGATACTTACTTGAAATAAAAAATGAAAACTGAAAAAATTGGTTAATGTTGCTACGAAAGGTTAAAAATTGTGAAAATCGCACTATTCCACGACTTTCGGCCTATAGCTGCAATAAATCTGAAGATACTTACACATATGTACAGTAAATCTCTCCACAAGTGTCAGTCCGCAAGGAACCTAAACCTGACACTTGTAGAATCAGGAACTACGTTTTCGAGCCTCGCGCCCGCCTTTGTAGTTTGCCGAACGTAGACAAGGACAGCGAATAAAAGATAAGGATGAAACGTGAGTCGAGGCAACCAAGCGATTTAAATACCAACTTTTTTAATTTTACGTTTTTTACGTTAATTTTTTTTTTTACGTTAATAAGTGAATGTTCAAATTATATCGTGTTTGATATCATTTCCATCAGAAAATTTCAGATGAAAAAAAGTAAAATTAAAGAAATTATATTTTTCTATTATGAATTGTCGAGCCGTGAAATCTCGTAAAAGAAACCGAGCGCTGACAGCGAGCGAGCATACATAGGCGTAGGACCATCTATACTGACACTTGTAGAATCCAAACTGACTGACACTTGTAGAGAATTTACTGTACATCTCTCGATGACTGTCGCTGATCGTTTTCACTGCAAATTCCGATAAAAAAGTTGTAAAACGTGACATTTACAATTTTCTTGGCAATTTCCACAAATTGCAATTTTTTCAAAATTTTTTGTACACGTCATCTAGTATACTGATCCTTCTAACTTCTCAAAAAAAACTTAGCGAGAGTAACTGTATACATATAGGTAGACGTGTATTTGTTTCTATTCGATGCTGTGATACCTTGTTTAAGCTATGAGGTAGAAAGTAAAGTAACGTTGCGAGCAATGAATCAGAGGGATTGCTTCATTGCTCTCATTGTGAAAATAATGCAGCAGAAGCAATCTCTTGTTTATGGCAATAGTTGTGCGGCTAGAAAATAGAAAGTACATATTATTTAAATGTATAAATCAGCAGAGCATAGTTTATCGTGATTTTATTGCGAAACGAATAGAAAAGAAACTATTCTATAGAATTATTCTATAGAAATTAGAATAATTCGTGTTGAAATGGATATAAAATAGAAAATCTCCTTGCAGAATGTACGCGGTTTAAAAAGTTAATCTAACAGAGAATTACTCGAGTGTAATCTTTTATTCGAGTTAATTGCCCCAGATAAGATAATAAGCAACCTTTTTCCTCTTAAAGTTTCAAATGTGTAAGAGCACAGATATACGGATAACTAGCTACATTAACCGAACATGTATAATCACGATGAATAAGCGTTAAATAGATAAAAGTAACGGTAAACAGTTAGTTTTTGAAAGATGGTTTGCTCGAAAGAAGACTTTCGTTCCTAGTGAGTCAGCAGATCTTCGCGAGCTATCAACCACAATAGAATTCAATTGCCTCTCGCCTCGAAAAACATAGTAATCATCTGCGTTGTGCGCGACGTTGACAGTGGTCGTATCATAGAGACAACGTACCACCTTCTAATCGTGGTGAACGATTTAAAAAAAATATCGTCGAACGATTACTCTTGGCCATGTTGCGTCGCGTAATGCCACAAATTTTTCTCAATTCTGCATGTCTAATTCTAGCGATGCGGTGCAACCTTGATCTAATTCATTGCTCGCCTAGCATTTACTCGAAACAATTTCATGTTTCATCGTGCTCTCGGTGTACAGCTCCGCACAGAAATCTCCCTGATTCGAACGTGATTCTTATGAAATCAACATATTCTTCTCGACACCTTGCCCACTTTACATAATACCAGACACGTTTTATAATGTTTCAATCGAGTAGGCTTTACTATAATCACTGAGAAATCTTGCCTTTTTATTCTATCTTTACTCAATTAAACGATCTTGTATTATTTGCCTGGTAAAGTGGTGATTAATCGTAAATAAGCTTCTGACTCATCGACCTTCTCTATGTTAAATAGGTACGTACGTCTACTTGGACGATTTTGAAAATCCTCTTTAAACGAGGGGAAAATGAAGACTGGTTTCGATTCAATAAATAACGCTCGAGCCGTGTCGCCTTATCGAAAAATTATCCCGGTCTGAAAATTGCAACGCGAATAATTGTAATTTAGCCGGTAATCGCCGACGAGAACACTCGAACGCGTCGTTCCACAACGAGGAAATGCTCTTTCGACGTCGTAAACCGGTTTACATTCTGTTTTTTCCACGCCACTCGGACATTTCATCGGCAAAAATCCCTACGGTGCACACTTTGTGCGAATCACGTGACTGGCCATTAGCTTCATTAAATTCTACGGCTCCGAAAATTTGTATTCTTCGATGAAATTTATTTAATATCACACGCAAATGTTATTCTTCCGTTATTAATTTTCTCTAACGTACCTGTTCTGCTTTAATTTAAATTAACTTCACTCGAAACTCGGAGCAATGAATAAAAATGAAAGTATTAAAATTATGGTATGTATAGGTAATATAGGATGGATCGTGTCGAATTCGGGAAGATAGGAAGTACAGTTTAAGAAGAATTAATCTGTCTTATAATAACGCGATTATCGCGGCCGCGATACTGTTCGGGGCACATTCGTGTACTCGGAATCAAATTCACCTTGTATTATGCTAACGACATGCTAATGGCTCCTTCTTTAACGACCGTTTCCTTTTGTGAGTTCGCTTTTGATTCCTCGAGTTCCTCAACGCCGACCTTAGCCTCTCATCTGGCGATATTAATTACGTACTGCCTTTTTACTTGTCGAGACGAAAATAAAGAAGAAGAAAATTGGAACTACATTTCGCATAAACATATTCACTCGTCGTTGTCCGCTCTAAACTGCATTATATCATTCCGTACCAGTCTATAAATATTCACAAGGTCCAGCCGTGGTCCGTGATAAATTTTAATGCAAGCCGACGGTGGACGTAACGAGGTGTAAAATAATTAATAATTACAAATGTATGTTCATTCGAGGGATAATACGAGCATGAAAGTCAGTAAAGTCAGCGAGAGGGAGAATCAATTGGGGCAAAGCTGGTCCCCAAAAAGAAGAGGAACAAAGAAAAAAAATATAGGGAAAAAGATGAAACGAATGGTGGTGGTTGAAAAATTCATGGAATTCCGTGGCACGCTCGTAAAACAAAATATAGATTTATTTCCCCCCGCTAATAGAGGAACGCGAGAACGAGCTATTGGGCTTTTATCGAATTTTTTTCTGTACGGCTAACGCAATATCTGCTCGATAACTTAATTGAAATCGATAATATTCCCACGTACAGGGAGAAAAAAAGCCTCTGATATCCTTTGGATTTACATGAATATCTATTAGTATGCATAGCCTTCTAATCAATGTAATTTCACCGCGGTTATCATAATGAAAAAATCACAACGTGATCGTTTTTATATGCAATACAATCGAGAGGTATTGGCTTTTAGATTTATAGATGAAATCTCGTCGGTTCGACTTTTGTGCCTTTTGAACAGGTTTAAAGTGAAAATACGACAGAACGCCGAGGTGTATTAGAAAAAATAACTACGGGGAATTTATGATCTGGTTTTGTACAAAAAAAAAGGAAGAAAAGTTTAACATGTTGGAATTTGTTGAGATTTTTTTAGAAGGACGCTTAACGCAATTTGTCATAGAAAAGAAAGAAATAAAAGAGACGGCAGGTAGATGCAGATCTGTATGTTGTTCCCCTGGCTTTCATACTTGCTGGTTTTTATTCAAAACCGTATTTGCATTCTCATTATTTTTTCTTCCTATTTCATTCTTTCCCTCTCTCTCTCTCTCTCTCTTTCTCTGAAATTCTGTAAAGTTTCATATTTAGAATTCGTTCCCCGTCTTCTTCCATTCTATTATAAACGTTAAACTCGTTTCTGTTTTCCTGCGTCGTTACACGCATATCTACACATAGACGAGTAATAAATTAACGAACGTAGAAACCGCGTTAACGTTAATTCGAAACTCTCAATGGTGAGTTGGTTTACTCTCTTAACGACTTTTACCGTTATCTGGCTAATTAGCAGGTCCTATTACGAATTACTTTTCAAGTATTTTCGTGATCAATTATATGTATACAGAGTTGAACGAATTTCATAAATCGCACCGACAGGCGTTTCGCTAATTGCAACAGATATTCGGACGAATTTATATAGTCGTAATAAACGTACTCTCCCTGTGCTTTGCAAATTTCCAACTGGCTTGGAAAGCGGCTAACGATGTTATTTAAATGCCTAATATTGATTTAGGTAACAAGCATAATAGCATTAATATGTAAATTTATTATGCAGATGCAGGCGTTGTCGTTGCAAAGTGCTATTCTAACGGAAAACACGAATTTCCCTCGAGTAGCGTTCATTAATTAATTCGTCTTTGGTATAAAAGGAGAGAAAAGAAGGTTGGTAAATATCCTTGTATAAAATATCAACGATCGTGATATACTTACCGTAAGAAGAGCTGCTTCTTCCTTGCTAATTTCGAGGGTTCTCTGTCGTTGTTTGCAAATTTTCGTGACAGGAGTTAGGCAGAGATATGCAAAAAAGGGGTCAGGTTTAAGGGAAAGGAGAGAGGTTAATAGGGGGAAGAACGCAAAGTACAGAGCGAGGCGGATGTAAAAATGTTATGAAGGGGTCTAAAGGACACGGACAATCCCTCTGTTGTATGTTAGGGTAGATTTTGGGGTTGGCCTGTTCCACTATCGAGACATTGTCAATTAAGCACACCCCTTCGCTCGTCATTTTCACTGTTTACAGGTCGGTTAGCTCGAAAGGGTCCCTTACTGTTCGTTAGAAATGCATTTCGTTTCCTCCTCTAGCCTCTTGGAATTTGATTTTATAAACCATGTACATATGTTTATATTTACCAAAATCTTTCTTTTTTCCTCTCTCTTTAACAACACTTTTCCCTTCCTCGCGAAGT